CTAATGGACCTACAGATCTGAAGCTCCAACGATGCAAGATTAATCGGTCAAACTCATTGACCGAGTTAATCTAGATTCGTTAACTACGGGTCATTCCACTAAAAACCCGCAGTTGCACTCTTCTCACTGCAGATGTTTTCGTGTCCATGGATATACGACCATTACTCCTTCACGAGTGTTCGTAACTCAAGTTGGGTCAACTTACCGTTTTACCCCTGAGTTACTTCTTACTCCTTAAACACCACTGCTCCTCTAATGAACAACCCGGTTATGGTCCAACCAATAACCGTAAGTCCCTCTCGGCCAATGAGAGGGTGGGGCCTCTTGTTCAAGTCCCAGAGTCAGCATTTAAGGGAACACTCATCTACTCCCCTAAAGTCGGGGAGGAGTGAATTCCATCTTGTGAAGTTATGTTTCCAGCTCCCCACTCGGTCTCGTCCCCAAAATGGTAGGAATGTTGAGTCGGCAACTCGGGCCACTCTCACCCATACAGATCAAAGAACGATCCCTCACGGGCAGGAGTCCATAACTCACTCAGGATTGAGAATGAGTTGCCTGGTCATCCTAAGAAATGGCAATCTATTAGTTAACGGTGTTACATCTAAAGATTGCCTATTTCGCGGTCCGGTCTTATAGAAACTCATTGTATAGGATACCCCCACTCGCATGTCTCCACACGAACGACCTGGATCGAGTCGTCTGTAACCTTTACAGAGCGGGCCGTATCTATAGTGTTGCCAGGATAAGGTACCCAGCCTTATCCATATACTATAGACCCTTTAGGTTATTCACGGGATATTATCCATGCATATATAAGGGGTATATCAAATATATACCCCGTATATCAACTATATACCCAGTATATATACTGTCCCGATTACATCAAAAATAACCTTGGATGTTTAGTTTATTGGATTTTGGACAATGCAAAACTATAATTCAACAACAAATTTATTGAATAAAACTTTATTAAATAGACATTTGTTTTTACAAAATACAAACTACGAGTTTAGGGCAACACACCCAACACTACAAACACTCAACTTGCTCCTAAGAGCTTGAAAACGGGCCACACTAAAGGACTTAGTGAAGATATCTGCTATTTGCTCCTCCGAACTGCAATGCACCAGCTGAACTTCTCCTTTCTTGTGCATCTCTCTAAGAACATAATACTTGATCTTAAAGTACTTGGTCCTTCCATGAAAAACCAGATTAAATGAAATGGCTAGAGTGGCTTGATTATCCACAAACACCTTTATACTCTCTTCTTACTTTAAATGCAAATCACGCATCAACTTCTTCAACTAAACAACTTGGCTGACTGTTGTTGTTGCTGCAATGAACTCAGTTTCTGCAGTTGACTGAGCCACTATATCTTGTTTTTTTTAACACCATGAGAAACACCCTGAGCCAAAAGTGAAACAATAGCTAGAAATGCTCTTCATATCATCTAATGACCCAGCCCAATCACTATCTGAGTAACCCTGCAACTCAAAATTTTCTTTACTGAATTTGATCCCAAAAGACAGTGTGCCTTTAAGATATCTCAAAACTATCATTCTAGCAACCATATGATTCTTGCTTGCACAATGAAGAAATCTACATAAGACACCTACAGTGTACATGATGTCAGGTCTAGTAGATGTGAGATACATGAGACATCCAACTAGACTTTTGTACACATTCTCATCTACAGGTTTCTTTCCATCATCCTTTTGCAACTTCTCCTTCTGAATCATCAGAGTGTTCACACTCTTACACTCCTCCATATTAAACATCTTCAATATCTCTCTCATGTACTTCTTCTGGTAGAGAAACACTTCGGTCTGCCCTTGCTGAATCTCCATACCAAGGAAGTAATGCATCAGACCTAGATCGGTCATCTAGAACACTTTCATCATTTCTTGCTTGAACACCTCTATCTGAACATTATCGCTTACTGTCACCAGCAAGTCACCTACATAGAGAGATACAATCACAACAGTAGTACCTGATTTCTTCACATAGAGTGTGAATTCACTTAGACTATTCACAAAACCCAAGCTCAGCAAGTGATCATCTATCTTGCTGTACCATGCCCTAAGAGCTTGCTTCAACCCATAGAGGGCCTTCTTCAATAAATAAACCTTCTGCTTTTGTCATGGTGTAATGAACCCGTCTGGTTGCTCAACATAGATCCCTTCTTCTAAGACTCCATCTAAGAATGCTGACTTCACATCTAGTTGATACACCTTCCAACCATGCTGAGCGGACATATCCAGTAGCATCCTGATTGTGTCAATTCTTGCAATCGGTACAAAAGTCTCAAAGAAATCAACTCCCCAGACTTGTGAATATTCTTTCACCACTAACCTCACCTTGAGCTTGTTCATAGAGCCATCTGGATTTAATTTAGTCTTGAAAACCCATTGGACTCAGCTTTCTGTCAGTAGGCTTCTCCACTAGCTCCCATTTCTTGTTCTTCTCTATCATTTTCAGCTCCTCCTTCATTGCCTCCATCCACTTTTGATATCTTTTAGCTTCTTCAAACCCTACAGGCTCCAACACAGCTACGCTGCTTCTTTCATACACCTCAGTCAGTAGTCTAGTCACTCTAACTGGTGCATCATCAACTAGACTTCTTGTTGCTCACCTCTGCTTCTTCTGTCCAGTCCCACTCCTCATCCTAAAAAAACTGAGCGTCTCTACTAATCATCATCTTCTTTGTGTGAGGTTGATAGATCTTGTATACTTTGGACACCATGCTATAGCCTACAAAGATTCCTGGTTCCGCCGTTTCACTCAATTTGTCTCTCTTCACCTGTGGAACATGAAAAAAACACAAACAATCGAACACTTTCAAATTTGTCAGTTTTGGTTTAGTGTCAAACCAAGCTTTATAGTGTGTCTTCTTCTCTAAGACTCTTGTAGATAGTCTATTCAATTGAAAGATTGTTGTGTTTGATGCTTCAACCCAAAACTCCTTTGGCAAAGTCTTCTCATGCATCATGCATCTTGTAATCTCCATAAGACATCTGTTCTTCCTTTCACTAACTCCATTTGTTGTGGAGAATATGGAGTAGTGAGCTGATGTTCTATCCCAGTGTTGGGATTTTCTCTACCTTTAAAAAGATTAGAGACTCGTGCAAGCGCACACGGTCACAAGTAATACTCGGAAGTAATCCAAGGTGGAATCCTCATGGACTTGTTGCTTTTCAAAATCAAGTTATGCAGTGAAATGGTTCAAATATGAAATTGTGATTTAGGAAGGAAAATGTGATGAAATGTTGTCGTTTGGGGTTTTAACTAACAAGCAATTTAATGAAACTCAACCTCCTTGTCTCCTACCTTAGTTTTGATGCAAAACATGGAAAACACACTATGTTTGACCGCATTTATCTCATATTTTTCCTAAAGTACCATAGTTTGACTTTTATGCAGAAATAATCTATGTATGTTGTACTTTAAGAATATGTGGTCCTTTTTGGCAAATAATAATGGGAAATGGGTCAGAATTGTGGTCAAACAGGGCTACCGACACATGTTTCTACAGTAAAAAGTCAACCCTAACACACCTCCAAAGTTAGCCATTTGCTTGTCCTCAAGCAAAAACAAAAACAACAAATCTAAAACAATCAACATGCTAGAAAGATGAATGATCAACAATCCAAATGTTCTAAGTAAATGAATCATATAAGTCTCAGGAAAGGCTCTACAAGCTAAACGTCCTAACTTTACTTTCAAGCCAACAAACCATAAACCATCCTTTGTTTTGAAAATAAAAAAGATTCTAAATCTTCTTCTTTTCTAAAACACAAAACTCGTTTACAAAACCATGGAATATGCACACTTCCGTTTTGATTCAAAAATTTTAACATCAAGTGGACCGACTACTAGCCCCTGAGGTTTTCAATACACTAACATCGGTTTCAAACCACAGCCACTCATAGAAACTTGTTAGGTAGCAACCCGGCATAAAATGATGTCGACAATGGTTTTCACGAAGTCACCTTAATATGTAGGCTACCACCCTCCAAGATGCTAACGCCACTCATTTAAAGAAAATGAATGTCTATAGTGGGACTCGTGAAAATAAGTGCGTTTTCTTTCCTCTCATGTTTCTTACCACTCTTTTCTTACTCTCACTTTTATTTTTCTTTCCTCCACTCTTATTTTCTCTCAAGACTCCTTTTTTCTTACTTGTTTTTCTTCTTTTGGACTCTTTTTCATACTCTTTCTTTCGAAAAAAATTTCTTGCTATGGCTCTTTTTGTATAAGACTCTTTTATTGCTTGCATTTTCTTTCTTGACTCTATTTCCAAAACATAAAATGCATTTTCTTTCTTAAAACAAAAAGACACACACCATCCCCCCTAAACTTAAGGGAAACAGTGTCCTCACTAGGGAAAAAAATTTTGAGAGACGCAAAATTTTGGCACAAAAAGGACAAGGACTTCCAAAGCAATGAAAAAGTTAAGGTTTCAAAACAAAAAGAAGCAGAACACAGTTTTATAACCAAAACAAAAAGAATGGAAAATGACTTATGGCTTGATCATAAAACTAGGAAATATAACCTATTCATGCCCTTAATAATTCTCATAAACATGATACAAAAACAAAGAACAAAGGAAGACATTTCATTAAAAAGATGAACATGTTGCGAGGTTAGAAAAGATATATTGAAGAAGCCAAGGACAAGCTAGTAGCTAGAACAAGGAAGCATGCAAGCTTGAACTTTAAACATATGCAAAAACACAAAATGTATACGTTCTTAACAGCACAACAGCACAACATCCCAACAACTAACCTAAAACTAAAACTAAGCTAAAGAACAAAACAACAACCTACACAGCCTATCATGCAAACTAAACTAAACAACCTAAACTACACAACCTAATATACAAAATCAAGATCCAAATATCGAAACAAAGAGAGAGAGATACTTCCATACTCATCATCGGAAGATTCATTGTTGGTGGAATCGGTAGGAAAACGGGAAGAAGATGGTAAATCGGCCGCAAGCTCATTAGGGAATGAAAGTGCTTCATCACCGTATATCTTCTTGAGGAAAGCACATGTGGCATGTTGAGTAACTAAAAGAAGCTCATACTTGTGCCTAAGCTCATCATACTGCTCCCTGGTCACCACCCCTCGGGTCTCGGGATCTGCAGTGGTAATGGGAGAATCCTCCTCTCGAACAATGGAATACCCCCAAACTCTTCTTAGGGATGTGAACGGCTTCTTGGGCGTCACAACATTGGCATTATGGGCCTCCACTCTCGCCTGCAAGCATAACTCAGTTATTAGTCCAGGAAAAACAAGAGGACCTACCATTTTCTCGAAGCAACTCCGTATCTCGTTCCTTAAGAGCTCCCCAAAGTTGAATTCAATGTCGTTCATGAGAATGTACACCATCATCGCCCTATTGCGCTTAATGGAGGAATCGTGAGAAGTGGGTATCAACCGGTTCTTCACCACATACATCCAAACCGTCGCTTGCTCATTGATGTCAAAGGGCATTAAAGAAAGCTTCCCCGTGGTTGAGACGGTCCATGTCTTATGTGGTCTACAAATAAGCCTACGCGCCTCCTCCACTTGCTCGTCTGATGGATGCACCAAAACTTGATTACCTATGGCATTAAAAACATCCAACAAACCATAGTGAGTATTAATAATAGAAGGCAAGAATTTTACCACTTTACCTCGTACTCTCACTACATCCCCTCGGTTGGGATTGATGCCAGTGTAAAACTCTTTCACCAAGGCCTCAGATACACGCGTAGTTGGGACAGACAACGACTCCCAACCATTATCCACAAGTCCTCTCCTAACATATTCTAGCACCGGTTCTTGGGTCTCATCAAAACCTCTCTCAAGGAGGATATCACGTGTTGTGAAGGTGGGCCTCCTCACCTCCAATCTCACCATTTTTACTCTTGATGGTGTTTGCTCGGTAGAATCGGGCTCCTCTTCGTTGGCCTCCTCAAGTGGCTGTTCTACCCCTCTTTGCACCCTAGCCCTCTTGGCTTTTTTAGATGGACCAGCCTCAGCTTCTTTTTGGGCAACCAAACGTGCTACAGCGGCTCGGGTCGTAGGCCTAGAAATTGCGCCACCACTTTTTTCTTCTTTTGTGTTTTCTTTACCACTTTGGTCCAACTCACCTCCTCATCTAAAGTCTCTGCAGTAGCAACAAAGTTTGGGTCAGAAACATTCAAACTTGACAAAGAAGGGGTTTTACCTTGTGAAGAAAAGGAAGATGATTCCTCCATGGCCTCACTAGGGACATCCATAGGACCGGATGTTCCTTCTTGCTTTTTTGCAGGGGGCTCCTCATACTTTTGTTGAGATTCGTGCACCGGAGTTCGTACTCTCTCTTCATATTGAGAGATTTCGTCATTTTCTTCTTTGTTCTCAAACTCATCTCCATGCACTTCTTGGGGTAATTCTTCAAGATCTTCATCCTCTCCATCAACATTCAATTGTCCTTGTGCTGCCCCACTGTTTCCATCATCCTTCAATGGATCCTCTCCCCTTGCTTCATTCAACGCCACCAAAATTTCGGCAATTTTCAGCCTTGTCCTTTCGTGTTCTAAATCATCAAAAACTATGGGCTTTTTATTCAAGATAGGATTTGGAAAAGATGGAGACAAAATACCTTGTAGAGTGGCCGGTGGAGTCTCATCCATAATTGCGCCAGGCGCAATTTGACATTGAATTTCGACCGTGGCCGAATCTGAGTGCTCCAAGGGCTCCATGTCGTGTTCTGAATCTCCACTAACCTGTTCGTGACCTTCAACATGCACAACAATACTAGTGGAAAGAGGGGGAGGGATAGACAGTTCTAAAGACTCAGAAACGGGGTTATCTTGAGAAAGATTCATCCTGTATTGATTTCGGGATCTGTA